TAGGTGTAATCTGTGGTATATGAAGATCTTTGTAGTTCCATCAGTTGCAAATCACCTATGGAGGGGAAGGGCGTAATTCTGTTACTGATTCAAAAATGTACGGAACTATCTGTCGTGACCTGTTCTGGCCTGTGAAAAAGATGTACATGATCAACACTGTACTACTGAAATGAAATATATTTTACTATCTATGAAATGTGTCAGCCTGCATTAGTTCCTGAATCTGAACTCAAACTTAGCTATGAACAAGTGTGGACCTGCAAGACGTGAGGGAGAGAAATCCCACTCACTCCCCACTGGGCCCCAGTTTCTCCACTCCCTCACTCATCTCTCTCCATTTCCCCTCCTCACCTATCTAGGCTTTCTCTCCTTTTTCTGTTAATCCTAGAAAACACTAGAAGCTTGAAATTGGAAGGACACGATTTGAGTATGGGATGGCACGCTTATGTATGGTACAGAAAAGATAAGAAAACAAAGTGCAGAAAAGGGCAACTCGAATGATAAAAGAGTTGGAACACTTTCCCTATGAGGAAAGGTTAAAGTGCTTAGGGCTCTTTAGCTTAGAGAAATGACGACTGAGGGGTGACATGATTGAGGTTTATAAGATTATGCATGGGATAGAGCAGGTAGAGAAAGAGGTACTTTTCTCCCTTTCTCACAATACAAGAACTCGTGGGCTGAAATTGCTGAGCGGTCAGGTTAGAACGGATAAAAGGAAGTACTTCTTCACCCAAAGAGTGATTAACACTTGGAATTCACTGCCACAGGAAGTGGTGGCGGCTACAAGCATGGACGGCTTCAAAAGGGAATTAAGCATATGGAGCAGAGGTCCATTAGTGGCTATTAGCCACAAGGTATAGATAGGGACTCTGGGGCAAGTGATATTCTGTCTTCTTGGTGCTTGGGAGGGGGGTCAACAGTGGGAGGGCTTCTAATGTCCTGGCCCCACTGGTGGACCTCCTGATGGCACCTAGTATTTTTAGCCAGTGTGTGACAGAGTGTTGGACTGGATGGGCCTTTGGCCTAATCCAACATTGGTGTCTCTTAGGTTCTTAAGATACACCTGAATTTCCAACAACATACTATGAGAGGAGCATTGTTAAAAATATGGAAAGAAGTAAAAGAATGATACTGTCTTAAAATCCCAAAATGGGTGTCCCCCTTGGAAGCTTTCATAAAACCATCATTACTTAACGAGGTTAAGAGAATAAGCTACGAAGATCTTTTAGATGAAACAGATAAATTAAAACAAGAAGAAGCTCTACTTTTGCAAAATCTACAGTTAACTTGGTGGGAAAATCTACAATTGAAATCTAGATTTAACAAAGAAAATAAAGTAGACATAAGAATGAACAGGATAAAATTTGGTTGACAACAGATGAGAAAATGACTAGGAATTTATATAATTTTAATTTAGATTAATATATGCAGGACGAGCAAGTTAAAAATACAGTGATTACTTGGATGCAGGATATAGGATATAATATAGACTTACATCTTTGGCAAAAAACCTGGAAAGCAGCTAAACTCATGCGATCTATCTCCTATAAAGAAAACGTAAGATTTTTCATAGATGGCATTGGTCTCCGGATAAAATAGCAAAGTGATATTCAAATGTAACAAACAAATGTTGGAAATGTAAAAATAATGTGGGAACATACTATTATTTGTGGTGGAGGTGTAGAAAAATCCATAAATTTTGGTGTATGATCTGTAAAATAATACAAGAAGCAATGAATATTGACTCCTGAAATATACTTGCTGAATATCTTACCAGATAGTTGTAATCAATCTGAATGTTATATATATGTGTCTGTTTATTTCTGTGTTCATTATTATGAAGGCAAGTCTTAAAAAAGCATGTGGGAAATGTCTTGTTTCTGGTGTTGGGGAAATTTCTGACCGCCCTGATCTATGTCACTCGTGTTCTGTCCTGATGGTTAGGAGCGCGGACTCTAATCTGGGAGAACCGGGTTTGATTCCCTACTCCTCCACATGCAGCTGCTGGCATGACCTTGGGTCAGTCATAAGTTCTTTATAAAGCTGTTCTCTCAAGGGCAGTTTTCAAAAGAGCTGCTCTCTCAGCCCCACCTACCTCACAGGCAATGCTCCCTCTAAGCTTCCACAGCTTAGTCTTGTGAGCAAAAATTCTACTTTGTGAGCTACTGGCATTAAAATTGTGAGCGAGCGATTTGGCTACTGCATAAATTAGTTTGCTCTGGAGCCATCCTTCCTGAGCGAAGACAAAAATGTGTGAGCTGGAGGCTAAAAAACTGAGCTAGCTCACACTAACTCAGTTTAGAGGGAACACTGCTCACAGGGTGTCTGTTTTGGGGAGGGGAAGGGAAAGGAGATTGTAAGCCACTCTGAGACTCCTGGTAGTGAAGGGCGGGGTATAAATCCAATCTCCTCTTCCTCCTCCTCCTCATGCATCTTGCCCTCCTTGATACATAGTATCACAGTTTTTTTCTCTTTCTTTAACTCCCTCTGCAGTAGAGGTATGCAAGATTTTGGAGTACCGTAGATGGATTCATTAGTTGGAATGGCAAGGCAGGTAAATACAAACTAGGCTAATTTTAATAAACCCCTCATAAGCACATTGGAGATACCAGAGATATTCAGTCACACGATTCAGATCATAAGGTGTATCCAAGGGACAATCAGCACATTCAGACATTTGAACGTAAAACGTTTACATTTCCCAGTAACAATTCCAGACGGGTAGCCATGCCAGTCCGTAAAAGCATAATAAAAATAGGAGTCTAGTTTCACCTTTAAAAGATTAACAAAATTTATTCCAGCTTAAATGTTTAGAGTCAGAGCTCATTTCATCAGATGCCTTTAAGAGTACATCTTTTCAGTTTATACTTCTTTATTAAAAGCTGCAGAATGACAGAAAGCTTGGCTGCGGAGAGGCTACAGAGAGAAGTTAGTTAAAAGCAAGCTTTTATCAAACGAGTAATCGTGCGTGCATTTTTAGCAATTATAAAGCTATCATACCAAATGTTGTCACTGAGCAGATACAGTACTGCTTGCAGACAAGTCTTCAGGATAATCAGAGGAAAAGCTTAACTCAACAACAACAAAAAAGTGAACATATAAAGCTGTCTTGTACTGAGTCAGAGCTTGGTATGTCAAGGTCAGTCTTGTCCACTCTAACTGGCCACGAGGGCTGCCAACCTCCAGGTGGGGCCTGGACCTCTTCCAGAATCACAACTGATCCCTAGACTTCAGAGATCAGTTCCCCGGAGGAAAGGGCAGCTTCAGAGGCACTCTCTATGGTATGTCATAGAGTCTAAGAGGAAGTGAAATCCTAGAGGGACAAGACATCCCACTGAGCTCCCTCCCCAGGCATAGCCCCTCAATCTCCAGGGATTTCTCAAGATGGAGTTGAAAACCCTACTGGCAGCAGCTTCCCCAGGATCTCAGGTGGAGGGTTTTTCACATCACCAGCTAACTGTTCTTTTAACAAGAGATGCTTGGGATTGGGTCCTTCTGCATTCAGAGCAAATGCTCTAGCATTGACGCACAGCCCCTTACTTAAGCTGCTCACTGGTCTACCAAGGTCAGTACTGCCTATTCTGGCTGGTGGTGATTCTCCAAGCTTTCAGGTAGTGGTCTTTCCTATCACCTACTACCTGGTCCTTTTAATCAGAGAAGCCAAGGATTGAATCCAGGACCTTCTGCATGCAAAGCAGGTGCTTTACCACTCAGTCATGTCCCTACCTTATGGATTTTGAATGTTGTTTGTGAAGTTCTTAGCATCCCTGGTATATGCTGAAAATGAGATACCACACTTTCTCCCCTTATGTCCTGAGCTAAAAATTTTTTTACCTTTGTACATAACACAAGGTGTGTATGACGATGATATCGGGGAGGTCATCCTTAACGCCTGTCCTGCTCCTGAAAACAGATAATTTCTGCTGAGAAAACTAAGTTCAGTAATGTCCACTGAAAAGGTGCAACTGAAGTCTCAGATGTAAAGCAGAGGTCATATTTTAAGTGCGCACTCAACAACACCAGATTTGAATTGTGGCCTCGATTGGCTTAAGCACAGCAACCCGCAGTTGTATATATTCAGGTATACAAAGCACTCATTCCAGTGAAAGGTAACATACATTGTCCTCTGGCTTGCGATAGGACTCTGTATGTACATACATATGTAATTGTTGACATCTTTGGAACTGTGCCCTAAGCCAATATAAATGTCTGTCTCTGGTAATACAAGGGTGTTTACATGGGTGCAGGGACCTTTATAATACAACCAGAGCATTGAGAAATCCAAAGCTTGTACACATAGATGGACTTGCATATGATATGATGTAGTTTTTTACAGTAAGTGTTCATTTTAATAAAATGGCCTTGTAAAACACTACAAACTGGACCTGTGTGTGCAGGGCTGACTCAGGCTATTGTCCTGCCCCCACCACCACCTAGGCAGCCCTATGCACCCCTCTCTAAAATGACCCCTTCTTGCAGGATCCAAGGTGGGCTGTTAAGGAAGAGCTGTGGCTCACCTTTGATGGATCTGAGGCCACACCTGCCCCCTCCTCCAGTGATGCGGCTCCTCTGCCAGGTGCTTTGGTGATGAAATGACCTTGTGCATGTCTGTGCATAAGTGCTGTCTTTGTTTGTTGGAGAAAGAATTATCTAGATTCATTTCAGTATGGGCTCAGGCCTGGCTTTGGAACAGAAACAGCTTTGGTTGCTCTGACTGATGACCTTTGACAAGAAAGTAAAGGGGGAAATTGTTGCTGTTAATGCTCCTGGACCCCTCAGCAGCTTTGGATCAATCGTGGTCTCCTGGAGACTGGCTGGGCTGGGAGTACGGGGCACCATGGTTTGGTGGTTCCACTATTATCTGACCAGCTGATTCCAGAAGGTGGTGCTGTGGTACTGCTGCTCAGCCCCATGGCACTGGTGCTGTGGGGTCCCGCAGGGTTCCATCTATTTCCCTAGGCGTCATTAAACTTTTGGAAGAGGTAATCTGAGGATTCAGAATGAGGTGCCACCTATATGTGGACGACACCCAGCTCAATTTCTCCTTAACAGCTAAGCCCAGTGAGTCTGTGGAAGTCCTGAATAGATGCCTGGAGAACGTAATGTGGTGGACGAGGGACAATAAACTGAAGATCAACGAAGACAAGACTGAGATGCTGTTGGTCAGTGATGAAGCTGCTTAGGGACTGCGGACTCAGCCTGCCCCCCTAAAGGGGCAGGTTCATACCTTGGGGGTGCTGCTAGATCGTGGCCCATGGTTGGAGGCTCAGGTCTCCTCTGTGGCATGTAGCACCTTTTATGGGTGCCAGAGAGTTCACCAGCTACTGCCGTTTCTCAAAAAGCATGATCTAGCCACAGTGATCTATGCCCCAACCACATCCAAGGTAGATTACTGTACTGTGCTCTATGTGGGGCTTCCTTTCAAAACTGGCGCATGGCGTTAAAAAGTCTGCAGGTTAATCTAGCCGTACTGCCGATGGCAGTTCGGGTCCTACCGTGGCCGGGGTGAGCTCTCGGCCCATTGTCCCAGCTCCCGCCCACCCATCAGTCCGAAAGCCTGTACAGGCAAGTAGGTAAATGGGTACCTGCTCCTTACGAGCGGGGGGGGGGCACCTTTCCTCCGTGATTGGTGTTAGAAAAAGCAGCGACGGAGCGAGCAACGGAAGACCGGTGCCTGGAAGCATGACGTGCGGCAAGGACTGGAGCCGATTGGACAAGGAGTCCAGCTGCCTCGTTCGTGTTCTGTGGGGGCCATCTGTTGGAAAGAAGCCGCTACTGCAGACGAAACTACCATCGAAAGTCCACCATCAAATTCAAAGGAAAAAGATCCTGCTGTTAGGTGCCTAGTTAAGAAAAAATACCCTCCCCTCACCATTGTACCCTAGCTTAGATAAATTGTGTATGTGTCTGTAAACTGCTCTGAACCATATGGATAGGGCGGTATATAAATCGCAAATGTTATGTAATGTGTAATGTTTGGAAACTTCAGTTGGTCTGTAATGCCTCAGCCAGGCTACTGTCAGGAGTTGATTTACGGGGATTCTATCACCCCTTTGCTAAAAGATCTGGTTGTCCCTGTGTTTCTGGGCACAATTGTAAGTGCTGGTTCTCACATCTATAGTGTTGTGTCTTAGCCATTGAAACACAATGTTAAGCTTGAAACCTCAGCCGGATTCTAATCTGGAACAACACTGTTGGCTGAAGCATGTTCGGTAACCACTCAAATGTAAGAGAACTGTGCTGGAGGGAACTGTGTTTATTGGTTGTTATACGATTGGTTGTTAATACGATTGGACCTTAACTATGTGAGGGCGTGGCTACACCAGCCAGGGAGAGTTTAAAAGGAGCTATGCTCCACTGTTGTTGTGTGTGTTGTCGTGTCGTTTGATGCTGTGTGATCTTTGGACGTTCTCGTTCTCAATAAAAGCTGATTCACTTTGTTACTTACTTCGTTGTTGAGTTGCATACTTAACATAAGGTCCTAAAGATGGCTTAGGGCCAGGGTATCTGAAAGGTCTCCTCCCATACTATCTACCCTGCCAATTAAGATTTGCCTTTCAAACTCTGCTCTTTGTGCGGTCACCTTCAGAGGCGAGGCTGGTGGTGACTAGAAACAGGCATTTTCTGTGAT